TCAGTAATGTGTAATTGCAATGTGTTTCACCGCACCAATGAGAGTGTGTAAACGTTTGAAGGTTATATGTTCTTCTCTACCAAGAATAAAATATTTAATAGGACCATGCCACCGAAGGTTGACCACCAGACTCCACTCTAAACATTCTTGGGCTGTTTTTACCAATCCTCTAAGGTTTTGTATCTCTGGAGACCCTGTTTTTAATTTCATCTGCTTTCTCATTCCACCTACTTCTTAATATGCATACAGAACATACACACAAACAAAATATGTTGTATGCCTATATAAGGCTTTTTGTTTAACTTCAGGCGATAAGAAAACACACAATTTATAAAAAAAAAAATTATCTCCCTGATGGAGTCGCATAAAAGCAAATTTACTTCAGCGAACTTTTTCGATTAACTCGGTAGTTAAGTTGCTCGAAAATACTACGCAAAGAGAATCTGCGTAAAAAATTTCCTTGGACCTATAGGAAATAGGTTAAGTTTCCTGGCTCTCATTATAGTAGTTTTGAAGCAATGGGCGAGTTAAAACATGACCACAAAAGTTTCACAATGAGATTTTAGAAGTTTATTCATTATCTTAGGCGTATTCACTATTCTTAAAGATACCATATTGGTCACTTAAGTCCTGCAAACATTGGACTTGTCAAGTGTGGCAGGGAGAGTGAAGTTGTGGGCTGAATCTTGTTTTAAGATTTCCAATGGTCTGCGCCCAAAATATCTTACTACACACTTGGAGGGTGGGGAGGGGGGTGGGGGGGGGGGGTGACAGGTAAGTGAAGCAACAGATGAATGTATGTAGTTGCGTCCACCACTTATCGTGTTTACGTCCTTATTTACATAATTACTGCCTTAAACGCTTCAATTATTTATTCGCTTCATCTTGCAACGTGAACCGGAAGACACTTAAGCACGTAATAGTCCCTTTGTAAATGTTTAAAACTTCTACTTGACATGGTTTTAAGATGAGGGTGGCATTTAACGTTTTGAGACCATTGCTATTCGTGTAGTAAGAGTCTACTTTTCTCATTACGTTGATGTTCTGTAAGTAATAGTTTATGTGGTGAGGTATATGAATTGGCAGGGCACTAAGGGAAGTGAATAAAATTGTTCAGTACCTGGTGTACGCGATCAAGTAAAAAAGAAAAAAAAACACGTTCTTTTTCACAGCTATTAAGGAATAGAGTAATTGCCTAACCATATTACAACTAGCGACACCACCCCGTTTGGCCCCCCGAGATATGCTAGAAACTGTCAGTTGATTGAAAACTGACAAAGGAGAGCCACCAGACTGGTGCCTGCACTACGGCACCTCAGGTACCCAGATATATTAGAACGCCTGAGATTGCCCAGGTAATACTATATGCGGACAAGGGTTGCCTCTATAGAAGTTCATAAACACCTCAGAGGATATTACTCAGTCGAGTGTTCACACCTGGAGGTGGCGGATGCTCATCCCCCTTGGGGTCACAGCTTAAAGTTGAAGAAACCACTGGTCCAGAAAACTGTTGGGACAAATTTTTTTTGGAATAAGTGTCGTGAACTCTCGGAACAATCTGCCAGTGTTGTGGCGGCAGCGAGTGGGAACTCATTCAAGATTAGACTTGACCAACACTGGCGCAGGGACAGATATCCTGGAATCAGTACATGCTCAGCGCGTAACAGACGTGACCGACTGCTCAAGCGGCTGAGATGGTCTGTGGCGAAGAGGATAGAAAAAAAACGTAAAAATTTAAAGTTAAAACAACCACAGGGTTTACTGGAGGGCGACAATATGGTACCACGGTATCGAACTGTAGGATAAAAGTAATTTGGGCATCCTAGTTTGCCCTAAATAAGTCACCACTGGGTAATACAAAATGTTGAATATAACTTGGTGTGCACTTCATGAATATCTCCTGATAAGATTTATCAGGTGAATGTCCTCGTTATGTGATGATATTCGTCCAGGTGGTGATGGTGATGATAGTGACGCTCCGAGAATCTGGGGAAATAATCTAGAACAGTTCTCATGGAGAAGAAACGAGAAACAAAGTCAAGATCAAGTTAGTCGACACAAGTTCACATTTGTGGGGAATCCCGGCGGAGTTTTTCTAGTGTTAGATGGACACGACTCGACAAGGTGTTAAAGTTATTATGACATAGTAACATGCTGTACACTGATCACTACTACAGTACGGTTTTTCAAGTATGCTGTATTTGACTGGTCCGGAGAAGTCTAATCATTTCAAAATCTAAGATATTGTTTCCGTACTCTTACTTGTACTGTCGCCTCTAAATATTTGCATCTTTATACTTCTGTCAGAACCTGTTAGGGATGGAGTAGTCCTATTAAGTATTCCCCTACTCTCTGTCCTTCACCACCCTCACCCCCTACCATCCACCACCCTCACCCCCTACCGCCACCACCCCCTCCACCACCTCACCACCACCACCCCCCTCACCCTCCACCACCCTCCACCACCTCACCCCTACCCCACCACCCCCCACCCTCCACCACCCTCCCCCACCCCACCCTCACCCCACCCCCCCCACCCACCACCCTCACCCCCTACCCCCCACCACCCCCACCCCCACCCCCTACCCTCCACCACCCTCACCCTACCCCACCTCACCCCCACCCCACCTACCACCACCCTCACCCCTCCACCTTCACCACCCTCACCCCTACCCTCCACCACCTCACCCCCTACCCTCCCTCCCCACCCCTCACCCCTACCCTCTGTCCTTCACCACCCCTCACCCACCCCTCCACCACCCTCACCCCTACCCTCCACCACCCCTCACCCCTACCCTCTGTCCTTCACCACCCTCACCCCACCTCCACCACCCACCCCTACCCTCTCCCCACCCCCTCACCCCCACCCTGTCCTTCACCCCACCCCCACCCCACCCTCACCCCACCCTCCACCACCCTCACCCCTACCTCACCCCACCCCAACCCTCTGTCCTCACCACCTCACCCCCACCCTCCACCACCCTCACCCCACCCTCTGTCCTTCACCACCCTCACCCCCTACCCTCCACCCCACCCTCACCACCTCACCCCCACCCTCTACCACCCCACCACCTCACCCCCCCACACCCTCACCCACCCCTACCCACCCCTCCACCACCCTCACCCCCCTCTACCCTCTCACCCCTGTCCTTCACCACCCCTCACCCCCACCCTCCCACCACCACCTCACCCTACCCTCTGTCCTTCACCACCCTCACCCCCACCACCACCCCTCACCCCCTACCCTCTGTCCCTCACCTTCCCCCCAAGCACAGTCTTAAAAACCGCTGCATATAAATCTAAAAGGATTAAAAATAACCTCGATGTAGCAAACCTTCTTGAAATACTAATCTATTAAGTGAAAAAGGCGGTTTTCTTTAGCATTGTTACAGATCAAGTGACCAACATCTCTCAATAAAGAAAGACGTAATATATGTTGGGGATACTCGGTACACATGAGTTGCCTCAGTGATGTAGTTGAATACATTAACCCCCCAGACCACCATCACCACGTATAAAGGAATAATATATGCAAGTTACACACCAAGAATAACTCCATCGCATTTTTTTTTTTGCCAATTGCTCCGTTACTCTGAATTCGTTTCTCCCCAGTTCAACAAAAGGCTATTTTGGGGCTCTCTCTTATTCTGTCTTTGTTGATGAATGACTCAGGGTGTAGAAAAAAGGTTCTGAAGTACAAAAGAGTTAATCGTCAATGAACTTTAATTCACCAAAATCTTTTGATACAAAACTGGAATTGTATACCTGGCAGTCTGACCTACCTAATTCCCATTACCAGACAGGTACTATCCAGCAAACATGTCAACACCCTATCCCAACGTGTAAAGTATATCATGCTTTAAGTCAGTGCAACGTTGCTAGTCACTTCATGCGATTGTGAACGTTCCTTTAGTCGACTGTGGAAACTGAAAACACTCGCGGTCACCAATGAAACGCAATAGGTTAAATACTGTAGTCTTGTTTTGTTAAATATTTAGAAAAAACATCAACACGAACAACACCCATGAACGCGTTACTGCATCACGTGAAGCCCCTCACGACAACACCCGTGAACGAGTTACTGCAACACGTGAGGCCACCTCATAACACCTGTGAACGAGTTACTGCATCACGTGCGGCCACCTCATAACACCTGTGAACGAGTTACTGCATCACGTGCGGCCACCTCATAGAACGAGTTACTGCATCACGTGCGGCCACCTCATAGAACGAGTTATTGCATCACGTGCGGCCACCTCACAGAACGAGTTACTGCATCACGCACTTGCTGTTCAACGCCTCAGTGCACGTGTCGTACGTGACCTAACACAGGCATGCAAGATACCAGCCCCTGCCATCCACTGTAAACAATTTTTATGCCCCTTCTCCTTTTGTAATTAAAGCTTTGTTAAATGACCCCTTCCCTCTCACTGTATGGAATATCATATCTGCCCACTGAATATTTTCACCCCTTTGCCCTCTGTACTTTTTTCAATTAATAGATGATAAGCACCATTATCAACATTATCATTATTATCGTTATCATCATTATGATTATTTACTATCATTATTAATTATTATTATTATTATGGTTACAAAAAACAAACAAAGTGACTTTAAGCTTTGCTCGGTCATCGAAGGCGGCTAGAACTACGTACTGTAGATGTTTCAGAAAAAAACTCCGATTGAATCATTTGTTTGTCTTGTTATCCTGACAAGAGAATAACTCGATATACTTGTAAACAGTTTATTAGGGGCTTATTGTGTTAACTTTTGTAGTGATTTTTATTTTTGAAAGTACTGTACATAATAATACCATAATGTGACAACTGTAAACAATTGTATCTATTATGGAATTTTGTTTGGTTGTGGTTTGTAAGTTGCAGTGTTGTTGCACCAATCGTAAGGTAGAATGTCAGATGACACCGACTCTAGCCAATCGCATCGCCACGCCAAGAAGTTCCCAGAATTCCTTGTCCCAGCCATGGTACCGGGATATATACACACACACACTGACCCACAGGGAGTTTTAGACGTCCACGTTTCTCCGTGATCGGCTCAGGATTGTGTTCCCTGTGAAGCTGCTGACGTAATTAATTATATACAGCATCTTTGTTGTGAGTATTATAAGGCTGAAGAAGTGAGGGTAGAAGTTACGTTGTATTCTCTCTCTTGCTGCCATCATAACTGGTATAAGTGGAGGCATGTGGATCGTGTTGCCACATAACTGAATTTACTTGAAATATTACGAAATACTGTCTTAGTGCGGGTCCAGCTCCAGTGGTAAGTCAACATTAGTTTATTTGTCTTGTTATCTGGGATTCTAAAATTGTCTCGGGGGTCTAATCTACCTCACCTTATTTTATACCATAATCCAGTATCTAGTGTTTGTTCAAGTTCCTTCTGTCCTTACATCCCGAGTCTATTCTGTCTGTCTGGCGCTAATTATAATTGTCGCTTCTACGACATCATTGTTTACTAACTTCATTTTCAACTATCCTGAATCTTGTTATATAGAAGTTTCATCTTATTTACCTAATGGCCATGTTGAAGGAAGGAAGCCCGTTGCTTGTGTAGGATCCCACCATTATTCTTGATAATTAAATTTTGTCAAGGGCTATTTTGAAGCACAGTACTGTCCTTGATTCCACAGCTTGGGCCGGCAGCCCGTTCCATAGGTCTACCAGCCTCTGTGGAAAAGTATTTCCTTATATTTTCTGCATGGCAACATGGCGAGTTTGTAGTTACTGTACAGGGGTGTTCCCTCGTGTTGGTGGTGCGTGACATCACAAAGAAATGTCCCGGGTTTACGTTTACCATCCCTTTCAGGAATTTGAAAGTTTCAATGAAATCTCCCTTGTTGTGCCTCGTCTGAAGGGTTGTTAGGCCTAAGGCCATCAGTCTACTTGGATAATCAATATGACATAGTTCCGGAATCATCTTTGTCGCTCTGTGTTGCACCTTTTCCAGGGATGTTGGATAATTTTCTAGAAGTAGGGTTTCCTCTATCCTTTCTCCCCCCACCCTCATCCTCTATTCTGCCCCACCTTCTTCCCTACCCTCTCACCCTTTCTTCAGTCCCATTCTCCATTGTCTCTGTTTTCTCATCTTTTATCTTTTTACACGAATTTCCTCTCACCTCTGCACCTACCAGTATTCGCTGTATCATAGAGTGAGTTTTATCTTGCCTTTCTCTGTCTATCAATATAATGAAGTTGTTTGTACTTATTAGGAATTATGTCCTTCCGGTAATAAAGTTATAATTAAAAGGTGAATGGTCTTGTAAAAAAGAGTTAGAGAAAACGAAACCTCATTCAGGTGATAACAGAAAACGGAGTAGTGCTGGGTAGACTTTTCTAGGACGGCTGCATAATACTCATGTCTTACTTTCATGTTGTAATACTTTCTAATATTTTTCCTTGATAAAGACCATATATACCGTACTTCCCTTTGAAAATTTATATATTACAAACTTGAAATATAAGAAATACCGTACTAACATAGACCGATGAAGAAAAATAGGAAAAGTACCGAGACTCGATAATCTACTCCTTAATCTTCCTAATAACCTGTAGGGTATGAGTTGTTTGGGTTTCACTCAGGATGGGATGGAGAAAGGAAACTCACAATGTGCTCTCTGTATACATGTTGTATTGGATGTACAATGCAGCTTGGTGCTGGGAAGGCAGCATGGTTACAAGCGTGATGTAGAGAGAGCTGGTTGGTGAGGGTGCTCAGAGGAGGACAGCTTGTGGGTCGCCATGCTTGCCGGCAGGAGCGAGGGCCGCCAGGCAGCAGCAGAGGAGGTGGTGTAGCTTGCTGCGGCTGTAGCTAGAAGAAGAGAGTTGGTTGGTGAGGATGCTCAGAGGAGGACCAGCCTGTGGGTCGCCATGCTCGCCGGTCTTAAATAGCGGGGTAGGCGTGGCTTAGTAGTTGACCTCCGTGATGTATGGCGGCGCTGGTTGACCCAGACCACGAGGCACACACTGTGGAATTCGCGGGGTCGGCTACTCAGCGACAAACAGCGTTTGTAGGGGAGAAATCCACTACAAACCAATGCTAAGAACGTACGACGTAACCCCACCAGTCTGTATAAGGCGCTGTACAACTCTCTCGCCTCGAGATTATCACTACTACAAGCAAAACACACAATGTTGCCAATATCAGCTTTTCTTTTTTTTTCCACCGGTACCAGTTTTCCTCCGGCCCCTCAACCTACACTACACCCTCTGCGAGACTTTAGGAACGTGTTATTAGTAGTTAAACCGCCCTTAGAATCAAAACGCGAAAGTTAGAAGCATTACAATAGTCCATGTTTATACTCCTGATAAGAATGACGTACCTGAGTGTTCCGTCTTTTGTTATGGCGTACCCGTGTGTGTGTAATAATAATAATAATAATTAACGGTTTATTGAAAGAGCTTGGCAGCCAGAAGGCTGAAAATATACAGTTACATATTTGGGGAATGGGTTACGAATTACAAATAATATACAAGTAACATAAGTGACACAAATAAGACATATAATAACTAGATGGGGAAAAGCTCAAACTACAGTTCATTTCAACATAGTGACAGTGTAAGGAGCAGTGTTTACTGGGAGTGAATACACTGATTTATTACAAGTTATTGATAATTTTTACAATGGTTGGGACTGGGCTGTTCTTATAGCGATCAGTTCGTGCACGTATGGGCTGGATGCGGTTGTGGTGTCGAACAGCAATTCTCGGACAAGGGATCTCAGGTGGTAGTAGGAGCCGGTGTCGGGGATGGTGTAGAAGCTTCTTACCAAATTTGCAGATGAGGTCGTGGTGATGGTCAGCGAGAGTCGATAGGGTCAGTGTGTTGAGCGCTTCTTGATATGTGGAGTAGGAAGGGGAGAGAATAATCTTGCATGCCCTCTTGTGTGTGTGTGTGTGTGTGTGTGTGTGTGTGTGCTATTAAATTTGTATCGAGCATTTTGAAACTTGTGTTAAACGCCTACGTAGCGAGTACCGACAAAGGAAGTTTTTCTTTCACAAAATTAAATTAAGCAAATTAAGATAACGGCTAGGGACTGTCAGTTGGTTGAAAATGTTCAAAGGAGGGCCACCAGACTGGTTCCTGCACTTCGGCACCTCAGCTACCCTGAGAGATTGGAGCGCCTGAACTTGCCTAGCTTGTACTACAGACGGGCAAGGGGCGACCTAGTTGAGGCACTACTCAGTCGAGTGTCCTTACTTGGAGCTGGCTGTCGCTCGCCCCACAAGGGATCACAGCTCAAGATTGAAGAAGCCGCAAGTCCAGAAAACTGTGAGGGCAAACTTTTTCGGAGTGAGGGTTGTAAACTCTTGGAACAAGCTACCAGAGAGTGTTGTGACGGCACCGAGTGTGAGCTCTTTCAAGACAAGACTTGACCAACACTGGAGCGGGTTCAGGTACATTCAGGAGCCGGTGCATGCCCAGTATTTGCCAACAGTGCGTGACAGAGACGTGACCGATCGCCCGGGCGGCTAGCGAGCCGATCAGTGGCGAAGAGGATAAAAGAAAGATCGGTGAAATGAGTTTAGAAGAACGGCACATTTAAATTATACCCCTAAAAAAATCTCATGTACATGAACTTCCTTAAATTGAATACATATTGACTGGAAAACAATTTGTCAATATATAAAAAAGAAAAGTAAAAGTAAACTGAGAAATTTATGAATTTTAGTATTTTGTGGATGGATCACTGCTCCAAGAGTTCATCTCTTATCATTTTTTGTTTTTGATCTGGAGTGTTACTAACCTTGTTGAAGCACAGTAACAACAGCACTATGCTATTAAATCATTGCTTCTAAGTTTTAATAATAATAAAAATAATAATAATGCTGTAAATCTTCAGCAGTAAACTATGAACCATACATCGTGAATGGTGTCCGTTTTGTAATTTGCAACTAAAATTGCATATTGTTTGCAATGAAGAAACACTTAAACCTTGTATGTAAGACAAGTTGTTAATTTTCTTAAAAGAGATGAAGAGCAGAGAATGGCTCATAGCCACGACATGACCACCTGCAGTGAAAGAAAGTGAGGCGATTCAACTACGAGACGCTTATGCGCATAGGTGAAGGTTATAAGCTGGAGAGGAAGCTTGTTCAGAGTTGTGGTGCGAGGAGAATAAAGAACATGTTAGGTTGTGCGTTTCACCAGCACTGTATATAGGGCATCACAGTAAGCAGGGCGTACAGAAGCAACAGCTCGTTAAGGGTTGGCCAAAGTGAAAGGAACATCGGTCAGTTGTTTATCACAGAATGTTGTTGTGTTGAAGGACAAGGATGACGCCACAAGCAGGTGAGACGTCATTATAAGTCAAGAGACTGTACGAGTGGAAGTGGTCTAGAATCTATAAATATTGGACCCATCCCTCGGGACACGTGTTGAGCATTCAAGTTGTTGTCAAAAGGTATTCATAGCAGGTGGAGACGTAAGCAAACTCAGGAATGCTTTAAATTGGTAAGTTTAACGAATTGTCTCCTACGTCTTATTTGCGATTCGATTTAATTTTATTTTTCAGTCAAGACAAGATAATAAATGTGTCTAGGTGTAATGAACTCTGAAATGATGTGTGTACTGTACCCCTTTCTGCCACTGTGACGGTCCTCGTAACGGCGATGATGGAGGTTGGAGTTTAAAAACGAATTTCATTAAAACATGCATTTATGACACGAGTAAAAAAAATGATTTAAACCTTCTTTTAATTTACAACTTTAATCACCATTTAGATCGTGGTAACCGTTTTGACGACAAATGACCTACATATTTTTCAAGGTCACAGGATCAGTTGATCTCAAACAGCGCCACCTGCTATAACACAGGAGGATGTCGCTTGTTTTACCAATAACTACTACAGTAGTCCCTCGGCAACTGTGCTTCGCCTAACAGTACAGGCACGTGGGCGCATGTGGGGGTGCCCAATAAATTAGCCTCTGCGCTATGTGGGTCAAAATTCGTACGGCAACTTCGGTGACACGTCTACTGAACTTACGGTGGCGATGACTTTCAGAGAAAATGGTCACGTCACGATTAAACTGCATTCAAAACCATCTTTGTTTCAGACTTTAACAAGTAGCACTGTTTGTGTGTGTGTGTGTGTGTGTGTGTGTACAGTATTCAAAACATTAATTTTCTTTACTTCAGATATTAAAAGACGGCAGTTAAGAGGAGATACCAGACAAACGGAAGCTACATACGGTACCTGAAGACAAAAAAGAAAGACGATTACAGGAGTTTGGTTGAATTTAAAAGTGTGCAAATATGTATGATGTGGAAGGCGCCAGGAGAACGGAGATGGCTGGGGAGGAAGCGGAGGACCTTAGAAACAGACGGTTCTGGAGCAAGTGGTGTCACGATGGCCCCGCTTTCTGGTGTAAAAAGTACTTTTGGGAAGGTAAGCAAGTTTCATGTTTTTTTTTACGAGTATATGAGTAACGTTGAATCTGTTTACGCTTTGTTATTCTATGCTCATGCTTGGTGATACATGAATATCTTTTAATTCTATTGATCAACGTCTTAGGTACAACGTCAGTGGCAGTATTTGTTGTTTGTTAGGGTCAGGTTACATTAAACCTTCGTTTTCCATTAGTTTGTTCTTGATCTATTGCAAGATAAAGTATAATAATGATGATAGCTGAGGCACAACTGTTTTTGTCCAGCAGAACGACGACGTCTGACCTGATTTATTCGCTAACCAGAAAAGCACGAGAAAGACTGTGCAGAACACTTTATTCTCATTTCAATGAATATTAAGTAAATTTAAGATAATATGAGTATAAACAAGATTATAAGAAATGATAATTCAAATGCCAAATTCTTTGAATAAAAATTATTCATATTTACAATAAAATAAGTTCGGTCCGTCAGTCAGCAAGTTTTGCTCCTAGAAAAATGCAATAAACAGTGCAGTATACACATTCTTCGTAAAATTACAGAATCTATAATATCAGTACGAGTATATCTGGGAGTGGTGAAGACACCGCGTTAGACAACCAAATTCCATAGGTTGTTACATCACAATTTAAACGTGTTCGATAACTGGTATTTTCAGTCTTTGCTATTTGATGAAAAAAGGGGCTTGGTTTACCTTTCGTGGAAACCATGTATTTATAATAGGTTTACCTACAGGTCAGCTGAAACAAGGGGCAGTAGATGAAGGCAACGAAAACGTCACCAATACCAGGGGCCCCTTAAGCGGTTTGTCACCATCGAAGCGTAAACTTGTGGGACTGTTGATTCCTGCTGCCTTCTTCCACTTCTGGTACTGGTCCATCATGACCTACAGGAACCTCTTCTATGTTTATGAGACCAAGTATCCCATGTCCATCACTATGGTCTTTGGTTCCATCATTGCTGGTTAGTTCTCATGTGTTGTGTTGAATTATATTTGATCAATAAAACCTAAAGCTAGCCATTAGGTTTTATGTATTAGAGAAGGATAACAATGAAATAGATTACTAATAAGTCCATGATCAACAGATAAACTTGTGTCCTACTAGTGCGTATATATGCTGTATATAATCAAGATTATCATTATATATATATATATATATATATATATATATATATATATATATATATATATATATATATATATATATATATATATATATATATATATATATATATATATATATATATATATATATATATATATATATATTTTTTTTTTTTTTTTTTTTTTTTAATGAAGGAAAGCTATAATGCTACTAATAAAAACAAATTGGATACAGAAAAGTATTCATAATAAAATGTATTGGTTGACCATTTCTCTTAAGGATAACATGCTATCAATATATTTATTTACTTGGACGAAAAATAGATTTGTTATTGTATCTAGGCTTACGTTAAATAAAAAATACTGTACAGTGCATGGTTTCAACAGCACACTAGGCTTTCTTATTCATGTAAATAATGTTGTAAGGAATAAAATACGTCTGTGTGTATGTTCAGAACCAAGATATAACAAGTGACACTGATATTTTCAGGAATGACGAGTGTGGGTGGAGGTGCAGTAGCATTTCCAGTGATGACCTTAGTGATGAAGGAGACACCAACAATAGCACGCGACGTCTCTATGGCTATACAAGCTAATGGAATGACAGCTGCATCATTCTCGATAATTTTTATGAAGGTTCATATAGAAAGACACGCCTTATTGTTTAGTTTGCTTGGATCTTCTATTGGTGTCATATTTGGTCTGGAGGTGATAGATCCCTTGCTAACACCACCCATGAAAAAGATGGGGTTTGTCAGCATTTTCTTTGCTTTTGCATTTGCATTGTTTCTGATCAACTGGGATCACAAAAGAACAACATACAATAGTATTCCAGAATTAAATTGGTGGAAAATATTACTAATTTGTATATTTGGGTTTATTGGTGGAATATTCACCTCCTTTTCTGGTAGTGGGGCTGATATCTGCATGTTTAGTCTCCTCACACTTTTCTTTAAGGTTTCAGAGAAAGTAGCGACCCCTACTTCTGTAGTTCTGATGGCCATGACGTCAATGGTGTGTTGGTGGTGGAGGTCTCTCGTGACAGGGGCGATGCCTCAAGAAAGTTGGGAATATCTACTTGCTCTTGTCCCCATTGTTACAATAGGAGCGCCATTTGGTGCTATTATTGGTACACATTTCCACCGACTAGTGTTGGCCGCTTGTGTATACATTCTTAACACACTGTCTTTAGTTGGTGCCTTTGTAATAGTTCCTCAAACAGCTTCTCTTACTGGGGGCTCAATTGGTATTATTGTGGCCACGTTTCTTCTCTTTTGCCTCATATTTAAACTTGGCGATCGTATGAATTTAAAGTATGAGAATGCGACAAATAGAAAGAAAGAGATCGCAGAAGTTAAAACTCCTCCAGTCAGTGGCAACGCAAACAGTGGTGCTCAAACATGGCGCGGTGTCTCCGCAATAGACAACCCAACATATCTTTCTAGTACAGAGAATATCTCAAATATGTAACTCCGGTTTTGAGTCTTGTTTTGGGATACTATACAGAGTCCTTAAAGTAAATACTGGATAAACAAATATTACAATATTAATTATTTCTTGGAATCACTGTACTAAAAGCCGGTGTAAATGAAATATCATTGAACACTCAGTACAGGTTTTGTGTCAATCTTATTTAAATACTAAATACTGTGATTATGCCTTAGGACACCGTGACCTTTTAACATTAGTGTGCTGTTACGCGACCTAGAGATTAGGCTACACTTCGCATGCCAAATATGGTTTAGGTGAAATTTCTAATATAGTTACGACAATGATGTTCTTAGGACCATTTGGTGACCATGCACTTCTGTCTAATTTGACTACCAAATCGCCATTTTTTAAATAAATGGGTCATTATAGAAAGACTGCTTGCCATGGCAGTTGTCAGTAATTGTACCAAGTATGAAATCTACCCATAAAACTATTCTAAAGCTTTCACCAAGACCGAAAATGTTTCTCTCAGTGGTGTAAACAACCTGGTTATATACTTTTACGAGTCCAGCTTCTGTATTAATTTGTTATATAGTTTTAATGCCTCAAGTTACAATATTGTAATGATTTGGGAATTACTGTACCTGTTCTTCATACCTACATATATACATGTTTGAACAAAGTTTCGGAATGTGAATTAAAGTTTTGATAAGTACACGCCTTCTTGCGTTATTTTTTCTATTACCTAAACTGCATCATAATATTGCACACGTCTACATTAATTTCATTTATACCCATAAAGGCCAACAGGTTAAAATTAAAGCAGTGTAATATTTAAGCATAATATAACTCCTTGAAATAAGACTATCCTAACAAACTTAACAGACAAAAGCTATCTCTATCTTACACGATGTACTGGGTGTAAGGAAGATGATGGTAAGGAGTGCAAGTCTGAGGTAGTTGGAACATGTACTGTGAAGTGTGGAATTAGAGTGTGGAGGTAAGGGAGTGTGGAGAGCTAGTGGAGGGAAGGAGAGGAAAACAAATAAGGTGGAGATGTGGAGTGTCAAGCAAGTGAAAAGAGGTAATACTGGAGCAACAAAGGTGAAGGTGAAAGAACCGAGCTGTCAACTCCACTACAAACGTGAGAATAGAAATTCCTAGATAATGAATACTTAAAAGTGGTAATAGCTCGTGAAAAATGGCTTGGCATATGTTGTCGGTAGTTCACAAGTATCGTTAGAACCTACCATCCCTAATGTAACATTCATCTCATTTGGAACTTATTCTAAAATATGTGGATTATTTTTAGAACTAGTATTATTACCCTGGTTCACTAAGTTAAACCATCGCACCATTGCTTCCCCAAGTCAGATTAACCCATTTTAGCTTGAATAGAATATCTGAAGAATCATCACGTACTTGCAAATTCGGAGAATTTTGAGAGATACTGTATACTATCACCCTGCATCAGTATTCTGGTATTGTAGTCTAATCAACGCATCATACCATGGTTTCACCGAAAGAAATTTTTTTTCTAATTTTCTCATACCTAGAAACGATAACATACTACAGACCAAAACAAGCTGTACAAGTGAATGTATTACACAAGGATTTCTCTAATGCTTTCCAAGAAGTTTCACATGTGCAGCAACTCTCAATGATCCAAGCAAAATATTGGGAGTGTATCATTTTTTTTTATTTAAGACAGGTACCAAAGTGGTCCCAAAAGATGGAAACTGCTACTGGATATAGATATATATATATATATATATATATATATATATATATATATATATATATATATATATATATATATATATATATATATATATATATATATATATATATATATATATATATATATAGTGTCACAAGGATCCATCCTAGACTCGTCAGGGTGTTCAATCATCAGGTGAAATAAGCAGGGGTGTCTAATCTTTAAGTGATCCTAAATATTACATACCTGTATAAAACAAATGACTTATCTTTTGCTTTCAGTCGGCAGGTCTCGGCCTTGGTTTGGTCGACTATATTACCGATATATTATAAAATTAAGAAAACGTAATCAGAGAAATTTCATACGTAAATGATAATTTTAATTTAAGTCATTGAATAGCTATGGTTATTTGCAGCAGGGTAACCAGTTATCTGTACGTCAGCCAGCGAGTTGAATGCACTAGTAAGTTGTAATCTCAAAACATTTCATGCAACATCAAAGTACAGTACATGTTCGTCGAGGATGTTTTATCTTTGATGTGTCAGCAACACATCAACATTCAAAGTTTTTGGATTGGCTCGTTGATTCGGTCCGTAATTAATGAGTTGGCATTGGTTTAGGACTTCAGAACAAAAACTAAACAACGTCTCTCCCAACCATCGGAATACGAGGCAATGACACCCCTCCCCCAACCATTATCTCCCTTAACATCCCTGATGGAGGGATCAATAAATTGTGATGTCACGTGAAAAAAAAACTTGTACACCATCTACGCACATCAACACATTCTGCATTACAGCATCGCAAGTTTGAGCCTTTCCTCGCGAACCTATAAATTTCACTCACGATAACTGTCAACATGGTTAATTTCGTAACGATTTATGCGAAGGTTCAGGTTAATTAGCTACCAGGCCTTCCAAAATACAACAACATGGAAGGTATGAATAACTGGCCTATCATTTTACCAATACTCTACTGGAGTGTGAGGAATGGGACCTTAGCCACACAATAGACTTACGTTTCAGTCATGTTTGATGATCTTGTGGCATGGACTGGGTTGCCTGCATACACATTCTGGGTTGATGATGTGGTATGCCTAGTTGCCTCAAGTCTAGCCATGGCATTTTCCCACAGCTTCCTCTGGTCTCTTCCTTGGCCTGGAAAAGGTTATGGGGTATATTAATGCTAAAAATCACATGAATGAAAGACTTAGTAATGTTTTAGTCTCGGCAATAAAGACATCCCCATTTTTCAAGTGGACTGCTGTTAATATTCTTGTTACGGACTTGGGTAGTTTTTAGCCAAATGAACATTCCAGTTTAGAAAATATTCAAGGTACTGCTTTTTAAGACGTTACATTAAGAATAGTCAATAATAATAATTATAATAATAATTTTAGACATGAATGACTTTCATTGATACTGGACAGTAAAATCCAAGTGAATCTCTAATTCTGGCAAAAAGATCAAGGTAAAATTAAGGTGTCAACCTGGCACTCTTGTAACTCGAAACACAGTCTAATTTCATATGTCTTTACAGTTTATTTTTTTATTGTAATCATATGCAAGATCTCATTAATAACACGAAACTTTCTACGCACATTGGTGTAATAACGAACTTCTACTTGAGGGAAAAGATGACATCTGATATTGCGGATACTCAAATTCTGTTTTTAGGTCAAGTCATTCGAGATCCAGTCTGTCGGGGTCAGTGTTATGTACACCCGGAAATCTTTGTCGAATTAAGGCCAGTCATAGTATATACACAACTCGCTGTGGCCTAGTCAATAAATGGCACTTGCTCGGTAACATTATTTACAACACTTTTACTTGAACAACTAAACACTTCTCATAGTTTACGATCTCTTCAATGTTAATAATGCTAACATGGTGAAAGGTGAAATCTCAAATCACTCTTCCAAGTTCAAATTTGTCTCCAGTAGTGATTTGGGAGAACGTCCGAGCAGATGTACTGTATATTAGATCTGCCCTCCAGAATGGTTCTCGCCTAATAAGTCTAAGGTTAGTGTTAATAATACTTTTATTTAGTACCAAGGTATTTTTCACATTCTGGACTCCTGTGAACCTTTTGTTATTGGTGATCAAAAACGTTCCGCTTTTTATGGATGAAACCTTAGTTACTGATCAATACCTGTTACAAGAGCAGGGATGTACGAGTGTATGGGCACTCGTCAAATCCGTCGAAGTGGTTTTGTACCCAGATATATTCCTCTGTTTACATAACCTAATACGGGCCCTTACAACACAATCCTTGGGTTTAGGGTTCCATCGATTCTTATCGACACTTTATTGGATCTCCGTAATTACCTCCGGTTCGGTTTTCTCGCACAAACGTAAACACTAAGGAGTTGAAGTGTTATTACTCCAGACAAAGTGACTCGAGAAAATCATTAAGCAAGAGGCGCCAACGGCGTTAAACTATTCTACTGACAGACGAAAACCAACCAATCCAGTCTAACTAATGATCGTTCAGTTAGTTTTTGTTGGGTCATATCACCTCCTGTATGAGAAGGTCTCGTGGGGTTTTTTCTTCAGAATTAAGCACGTCAACTGCTTCAGCCACTGAGCACCGTGCGCACATTTTGGACGATACAAAGCCTAGCCCCTCATGTGAAGCTGCTACCGAGTATGTGAAGATATGAGTATAGTACCGGCAATTATTCGGTAGTGATAAGTGACCATTATATTAATTTAGGTATTATTGCAGTTTCGGCCAAAACACGGCCGACTGTTTTAACCATTCCTCAACCTTTAGATATCCGTATTCGGAGTATTTCTAAACCCATTTCAACCCGAGGGCAAAGAATAATAACGTCAGAAATTTACTTTAAGGCTTTCCATCCTTTTTGGGGAGGGACCTAAAACTGGTACTTTCCTCCGAAAATAAAGGTCAAATTCGATGAAATCACATCAAAATACACAGGATAAACTAATTTCTAAACTACCAGGGCACATTGGCCGAAACTGCAATTTTAACTTGATTTGTAAATAAAGAAACGGCAAAAAAAAATTGCTTTACACGAGCGTTTTCACCAGAAATTTATATTTTTAGTTATTTTTTTTTACTTTGATGATTTCACACAAACAAATGCAATTTTGATCACACAAAGTGAGCAGGACTTTGAAGTCGAGTGAAATTGTTGGGTAAAAACACCCCATATAAGATCATCATCAAGAACTTAACCTAACGACTCTCAAGCCTCTTGTTCCAAAGCCATACACCTTACCCAGAACCAGGCGGTAACAGACCCCCCACACACACTAACGCGTTGTTCACCCAAGTTTGTGTCTGACCAAGTAACACATCTTGTTAAAGTCATTATCTTAAATTCAATTATCATGTTTACTCAGGCGTCGTGAAGGTGATGTTGGAATGTACAGTACAATGTATTAAAATGGCACCAACAACCATCAAACATTAACAATCGCCACACTCATACAGCATACACTAGTTACATAAATAGTATACTTACATTACAGTCTAATCCAGCGTAACACAATTAGCTATCAACCACAGCAGACCACCGACCAGCATCCACCAGCTCCTCATCCTCGTGCACTGCCCTCCAGGAAGGCATGCTCAGCCCAACTGTCACCTCGTATACTGCTTCATTACAACTCCGTTCGAGATATGAACACAGGTACGGAACTCGGAAACGCCTTTCTATGAGCCCAAACTATGGTCCATACCAAAGACTTTAACCGAAAGACAGGAAAGCTCGAGCTTTTGGGTGTGCGTGTAGTAAGGGCCTCTGTGGCAGATGGCGTTGGTATCTGTGAGAACATCGTCTGTTTGTTTACCGAATACGTCAACTTGGGTGGCGTCAAGTTTGTACACAGTCGGCATGCCTCACCCGTTTCCTGTGCGGAAAAACCAAAGAAATTCATCCTACTTTTTATATTTCATCGATTCCCTCGACAACAGAAACAGTTGAGTGTATATATAATGCATAATTAACACAATATAATGTTGGGGTGTGTGCCGGTCTGGCATCACTGTATCGGTCCCAACGGACGCGGAGCTCAGTTCGGGCTCAAGGCTCCTCTCTGTGAGGACTTGTCTGCCACCCCCCCTCCCCCCCGTCATCTTCGCCAATATATGGACTATGGACGCGGCCTTTACTTAACCCCCGGGTTGGCACCCTAACATGGCGCAGTGAGGAGGATATGAATAATAACACAAGAAACAGAGGTGGAGTTTGAGATTGACCCCCCCCCCTTCGGAGCTAATTTTATTTGGGGCCTTGCCGATAGATGGCGCTGATTTCGGCTTTGCGGCGCAAGATTAATTCAATAGCTTTCGTAAGAGCTTTCCTATCTCTCTTAATAGACTTTGGTCCATACAATGAATCCACGAGCAATGACACAAGGTTCGGAACACTGAGGTGGGGGAAGGGGAGGGGGTAGTCATGCACGGGTCGCTCATCAGGCACAAGTCCGGTTATTTTATTGATTGTTTTGTGCATTTGCACAATCTCGATAACCTAATATTGAGGTTAATACTGTTAAACATGTAAGACACTTGGTAAAAAATAAACATGATGATAAACGTTTTGAAACACTGGTTGAGTCGTTTCAATGATCAGCAGCCTATTACATATTTGCAAATTCATTTTTTGTAGAATATATTGTCAGGCGTATACATATTTCCTTAAAGGGTTATAATAATGCACTGTCTAGAATGGAGAGAGCCCTAATGTCCAGTCACAAGTAGCAAATCAAAATAATAGATTCCATTTCTCTCAGTTAGAATTTGCACTAGAAATTTGTTTTACCCCTACGCGAACAAACTTTCTAACAAGTTTTTGAATCTTAATAACGTAGTAAGTGCCTTATATTCTGGGAAAGTAAAAGTACTTAATGGGCATGTATCGAGGGATGAAACACGTAAGATGATTTGTCAAGAAATCCTGGCAAAGGATAATCTCACTCATGCTACCATTTGCTGGAAAAGCTTAGTCACCAAGAAACATCACATTACACAAAGGAAAACTTCCGTCAACCTTTAGATTATTGTTTTAATTGCATTTTCTTATTGTGGAGATAAGATGTCTTAATAAGAAATAATTCATTTTCTCAACTATTATTTTTTTTTTCGTTTCAGATGTTGAATGACAGCATATTTACACAGCTATAAAACAAATTAAATCAGCCTACCCGAAGAAACTACAAAGAAGGTTAAATAAAACAAATTGCTAGGCGGAAGGAACCATGGGAGACGTGGAAAGGACTTTGGGAGAGGTGGGAGGCAGCGTGAGAGAGAAGAGGTGGAGACAAAACAGACGATACCAGAGGAAGTGGTGTCGACATGGTCTCTCTGTATGGTGCAAGAAGTACTTTTGGGAAGGTAAGTAAATTTCATGTTTTCCCTATTAGTTAATCCTACAATTTTGTCAGACGGCCTTACGCGGAGAGGGATGTAGAATGATGGAAATAGTGGACGTACTCTACATGTGCTGTATTTGTCTGACACGTAGAATTCTTGTAGTTGTAGGAGGCACTAAAGGGGAATGGTTGACAAAAGGTGGTTAAAACCACGGAAATTACTAACTGTACGATTTTTTTTTCGAGAAGCGCTGAAGTTTAACAGGCACTCCGCATGCTTTTGTCTCAGACACTGCTGACAATTACCGTACCACAATAAATTATTCATGGAAGCAATAATAGGTTTTTCACATTTACTCAAACAAGGGGAACTACTACATGTTGTGTTATTTAGTATGGAGTAAATACAAAGCAAAACATTTGTCGAGGCATATTACTCGAAAACGAATCCCCACAATGTACTGTAGAATTAATTTATGTGATATGAATGATACTAGGATGAACACAGGCTGACATGCTCTAGAGTCATCATATCCCAGTAAATGGTAAGTCCCCTTCATTGGGGATATAACAAAGGGTGGTTGTATAATGAATGACGTGTACTGTGACAGGACGAAAGGTGAATTGATTTTCATTGGTGCACTGAACATTGATTTATCAGTCAAAACAGTGAAGAAACAAACTCGGTATTTTGTCCTCATTGTGCATTGTTATGGCCTAGTGAATTTTTTTGTATTACTGTAGCAAACATGTATTTATTATAGATTTACCTACAGGTCAGCTGAAACAAGGGGCAGTAGATGAAGGCAACGAAAACGTCACCAATACCAGGGGCCCCTTAAGCGGTTTGTCACCATCGAAGCGTAAACTTGTGGGACTGTTGATTCCTGCTGCCTTCTTCCACTTCTGGTACTGGTCCATCATGACCTACAGGAACCTCTTCTATGTTTATGAGACCAAGTATCCCATGTCCATCACTATGGTCTTTGGTTCCATCATTGCTGGTTAGTTCTCATGTGTTGTGTTGAATTATATTTTTTGGTTCCGGCTTTAGGTTTCAATAGGGTAATAATGTATTCATTACCGCCTAATTAATGCATCAAGAGATAAAGTAAAATAGGTTACAAAAATGTATTTGTACGATAAACAGGTAAAGTTTGACTTGTTCTAAATCATTATGCCAAGACAGATTGCAAACATTCTTTCGACAGACAGAAAAATAAGTACTACATAAATGACAAAAAAAAATCCTAATAAAAAATTTCTAACAGTAAATTGTAGCAAATTAATTCGCATGTGGAATGAATTTGATATTTCATTAGACATCATTTTTCTTCATACAATAGCTAAATTATATCTAAAGTAGGTTTAGGTTAGGTTATGTATACAAATATTCATTTAAATGTATTATGATCTACCGATCGATGACAGTGTAGACAATCAGAATATAAATAAATATATATATATATATATATATATATATATATATATATATATATATATATATATATATATATATATATATATATATCTTGATAAAATCACAAAAGGAAACAACGTGTGATTTTATCAAGATTTATCTTATCCACGTTTTCATTGTATATATATATATATATATATATATATATATATATATATATATATATATATATATATATATATATATATATATATATCATAAAAACCTAACCTAACCTTACCCAACTTACTTTAGTTATAAGTTGCCTATCTTATGATGGTAAACAATATTCTAAATGCAACAGAGCGAATTATACCACACCAAATTCATTTCCATTAAATTATAGCAATAAAAACAAACGGTTATCACAATTTTGCAAAAAAGTTAGTTGCTTTTTATAGCTTAATTGCAGTTATCCCTAATTAGTGTATAATAATAATAATAAATTTTCAGGAATGACGAGCGTTGGCGGAGGTGCAGTAGCATTTCCAGTGATGACATTAGTGATGAAGGAGCCTCCAGAGATCGCCCGCGACCTGGCCATGTCACTACAAGCTAATGGAATGACAGCTGCATCATTCTCGATATTTTTTATGAAGGTTCATATAGAAAGACACGCCTTATTGTTTAGTTTGCTTGGATCTTCTATTGGTGTCATATTTGGTCTGGAGGTGATAGATCCCTTGCTAACACCACCCATGAAAAAGATGGGGTTTGTCAGCATTTTCTTTGCTTTTTCATTTGCATTGTTTCTGATCAATTGGAATCACAAAAGAACAACATTCAATAATATTCCAGAATTAAATTGGTGGAAAAGATTACTAATTTTTATATTTGGGTTTATTGGTGGAATATTCACCTCCTTTTCTGGTAGTGGGGCTGATATCTGCATGTTTAGTCTCCTCACACTTTTCTTTAAGGTTTCAGAGAAAGTAGCGACCCCTACTTCTGTAGTTCTGATGGCCATGACGTCAATGGTGTGTTGGTGGTGGAGGACTCTCGTGACAGGGGCGATGCCTCAAGAAAGTTGGGAATATCTACTTGTTGTTGTCCCTATTGTTACAATAGGAGCTCCATTTGGTGCTCTTATTGGCACACATTTCCATCGATTAGTGCTGGCCGCCTTTGTATACATCCTTAACACTATGTCTTTAATTGGTGCCCTTGTAATAATTCCTCAGACAGGTACTCTTATTGCGGGCTCAGCTGGTGTAATGGTGGCAATGTTTATCGTATTCTCTGTCATATATAAACTTGGGGATTGCATAAATGCCAAACATGATAATAAAATTACAAAACACAAGCAAGAGGCAGAGGTGAGAGTTGAGACAACCAGTGGCTATATACGAAATGATGTACTTACACGGCGAAAAATCTCCGAGGAAGATAATCAAGCATATTTCTCCAGTGTCGAATGTATTCGTAATACGTAACTTCGTTTGATGTTTAGATAATGCTTTCTGTATCATCTTAATCCCACTTCATTGCTTTGTCCTGGAAAGTGCGGGAAAAAGTGCAAGTGTGACGCCGTTACACCTGTCGACGGCCAGCAAAACAAAAAAGAAACATTTGTACGTGGAAGCTTTACATTACAGTATTTTAATATGCGTCGGTCTGCAGTAAGTTAAGAGTTCTAAATAACTTATCATTACAGTGGTTAGTGAATAAAGGAAGTGTTATACTGCCTGATTGCTGTACTCCCATGTAACATTCTTTGTAATTTAATATTTGGGCAACAAAAAATAAACCCCGAAAGATACGTCTGACTTGGGAGTGACATTAAGTACAATGTGATGACAATAGATATAAATAGGACAATGGAGTTCAATCACTTGTCGAGGCCTACCTATTTTATCAGCTGAGACTATTGTTCCTGTAAGAAAAAAATAGAAGAAAAAATAGATATAATGGCGATATTTTAAGGTGGAAAAAACATATATTGTATCGTCAGTTGACATTCACAGCAAGTTCTATTGTTCTCTCAGAGCATACAATTCTCCTTTGTTCTTATCGTAACAAAGTTCCTTCATTCCTCTGCATCATAACCACTCGTGAATAAACTGTTGACTTTTATTTGGTCTTTATTCCATCACAATATAAACTCTCAAATCATTCTTTATTTATTGAAAGATTTACTTCCATAATGTCAACGCTTGGGAGACGAAGATGGAAAAACAAAAGAATATGAATGTGGGTAATAGTTTGGATCACCAGAGATAATGATAATAATGATATTTACTCAATAAAATCATCATATAGGTTTACATTTGGTATGTATACAGTTTACCATGTATATAGCCATTGCAAGTACTGTATACATGGACAATGCAGGAATACAAAAATAGTAAACAGTAACGCAATTTGACCAAGGATAGCCGACAAAGCCAGCAAGTGCTTATTTCTAGTTTTCCCGGAACTTGGGACTTCATACTATTAACTGGTTCATTCAGAGGGTAATTTCAATAGCTCAAAATTGACACAATTCAGTTTCTGGAGCCTGTTTGAGTACGGGAGATGTTAGTATTGCGCCTCTTAGTCTAAAACTTACTACCATGTCAACTATGAACCTATCAGATGAGCCTGGCACAGAGATCACCCATCAGATGACCCTGGTACAGAGACTCAGTGACCTTCATGAAGTAATATTATTTCAATTTAATGGGTCATCGGGATTTAGAGTTGGCGCGGTACTGTTTTGGGAATTGTGGGTACGCGCGTGTGTGTGTGTGTGTGTGTGTGTGTGTGTGTGTGTGTGTGTGTGTGTGTGTGTGTGTGTGTGTGTGTGTGTGCCCCACGAGGGCCAGCCACCAAGGAATTTTTTTTTGCGGTCTTGTTTTAGCAGATAAAAGTATGCGAGAGAGCAACATAAAATCCCTCCAAACATTTAGAAAAGCGTTCCTGATGTGTAAACAAGTTGGTTGCAGAACGTTTTACGGTACAGAGAAACGCTTCCAGTGGGATCAATTAAGTGGAAGAAATTGAGCCTGAGAGCGTCTCTTTGTCTCCTCTTAGTCACGCTCCCATTCCTTGGGAAAAATTGGCTAAAACAACGTTCAGCTTGAGTACCAATGACCCACGTGTCGACCCAGGTTTATTTCCGTGGGAACTTTGGAAATATATTGTGTGGTCCTGCCAGAAATTATACATTTCAGCAGTAGGAAAATACCTTTGGAAAAAATGGCTAAACCACACACACACAAAAAAAATAAATACTAATGTAGGATACCTGAAACTAGACTTATTTCTTCGGAAATTTGGAAAATAAGTTGTGTATCCGTGCAAGAATTGTATTTCTACAGCAAATTCAGCAGCAAAGTGCACTCTCATCGTGTTGCAGGTCAATGTCAACACAGTACATTATCATAAAATTTCCGTACACGACAATGTTTACGCGGATGTACTGATATCAAACTTTCCGTATCTAATATGTTCTAGTTGATAAAAATAACTAAAGTAAAACGTTACCTCTTTCACGTGTTCCTATTTAAGAACATATAACATTACCATTCCTTCTCCGGTCGAATACTGAATCACCTATTGCAACTCTCACTAGTCAGTTATCGCATATTAATAAAGCTTTGTCTTGTATGCATGAACTTGTTCGTTGTTCCTCGCACCATTTGACAGTGTACTTGTGAATACAGTATTTAATTTTTAATTGGTGATATTCAAGACTACATCGTACAGGGTGAAAGCATAACTTGTTCAGGGAAAAAACTGGACGGTGATAAAACACAAAACAAAAAACAGTAACTAACACGCGAAGCCTGAAATCGAGGGGCATAGGTCAGCTGTACTGCAAGTGAACGGAGGAAAACAGGTTATGCCAGTGTCACATCATCTCTCTTAATTCCGATGTTTGCCATACTGCTTTTGTTTTGTTTTTTTGCAAGCATATACCGGTAGTTGATGTTAACATTACTAAACTATTTCGGATTTTAAGTCTACTACTTTTTTGTCATCTGGTTGATATCGTTTACAATATTCACTTTGAGTACGATGCCAACTTTGTTATGAACTTTATTGTGTAGTATTAGTATAGTATGTTATGGTAGGGTCACACTGGATAACACCCTTCTTTTGTGTGTCTGGGGGTAGGACTCCAGCCCATGACAAATTGAGTACTATAATTCAACCCTTTGAATACGATGTCCACTTCCTTTGAGTACAAGACACTGTACTCGGGGTTAAGCCGTTGTATTCAAGGGTTTACGATGTTTCTGACTAGATTTATATAATAGTTGATATTTCTTGTGATTAACCTCTTTTGAATCTTAATTTTCTATCAGTGGGGAGGTTTTTTAGTAAGTTACACCGATAGGAGTTCCGTACGGGCTTGATTACCGACTCACTAGCGGGGGAAAATTTAATTGTCACTGATTCACAGAAAGCAGAACTGTCAGTCACTCATTCATAGAAAAATAAAAAAATTATTTGTCACTCATTCACACACAATAAAATGTTACGATCACTTACCCATCCACTAATAGCATATGAATACTTGTTTCTCCCAAGGTTCAGGAGGAACGACGCATCTCACTGGCGCTCATAAACGGCGACGGAAAGATGGCAGTCAAAATAGCATTGGAATTACCCAGGTAGGACAGATTTCATTATACTGTACAATCCATCTCCACCCCTTAGCAGGGCAGCAAATAATAATAATAATCATAGTTTATGTATATTTCGATATTTTCTTTCGTGGCTCAATGTTAACCTTTCTTGTTTCTTATTCTGTAGCTTTATAGTGTTCTTACTTGTTCTTTCGTTCTTCCTAATTTATCGTTTCGTGTTCTCTTTCTTCTTTTCTTGTACTTACTCCTCTCACTTTTCTAACGTGCAATTTCTTAACCTGATATAATGCCAGTCTATCAAATTATATTCATTAAAAGTACCGAAGCCAGAGTTTTCTTCCTGCAAAATTTCCTCAAGCTGTTCCCAACAGGTTTGAGGCAGCCGACCTTTTTCCTTTTTTTTTAATTTTTTTATCCAAGACACAATCTAGTTTAATGTGAACGTAGAAGGCATCTATAGCTTGTAATTCTTGAGAAAAAAAATGTAAAGTTGGCGATGACAAGAGTGCGATCTAGATTTACGGAGGAAAAAATAATAGTGAAACAATTAAGTTGAATATGGATGTGGTCATCAAAGACTTATTATAGTCTTTGATGGACATGAGGCTATAAATCGGTTTCAGAACTTTCACATTTACTAAAACCTCCACAAGATGTCTTCTAGGGGATTGTAAACATGTTTGGTATATCATTAAAATTCGAGACTTTATTGTCACCCAGTTGACTTGCACAATTTAGAACCCTAAAATCACTCGTAGGATGGATGGTAAACCAGAGTGACTTGTGACAGTTGAGCCTTCCGATGACGGTTAGCTTCCAAATACTCGAAGGATTCCTCTTAAAAGGTGTGAGAATACACTAAAGTGCTTGGTTTATGTACAAAAAGACCATTGGAGTTACACAAACACTATCTTCAGATTTTTCCGTTTTAATGAGTGTACCAATATAATTATATAAAAATATAGGTGCTTCTGCTAAAATCAACCATTAACGTACTTTGTTATACTTTGTTATAACTTATAAGGAACATTCATTTTACGAATCTCTTGAGAAACTGGTTCCTGGTCATCTTTATTATGTCTAAGTAACGCTCATGTTGGCATCAAAACATTTCAGAAACAAGTGTTTTATCTGGGAGTGAGTTAGCATTATACTCAAGTGCTTCATACTTGTTCCGGATTCTCTTAAATGCCTCGGTGCTCTTCAGTGAGTTTTGTTGATGCCCGGACCAGTGTGGCGTCAGGTCTGTAAAAGCGTTCATCTTACCTACTTTAACTTGAACGAACTAAAATTGACTCAACTGTGCCCAACCGAACTCAACCAAAATTATCTGAAATGTCCCCAACCCTACCTATATTTCTTTGGTTAATTTTGTGCTTGTTATTATTATTACGTATTTCCACTTCGAACAACCTAGAAAATTACTGCAATTGTTATTTTTTGGGGCTAATTTTTTTTTCCTAACTCATGTCCTCAGCGGTAAATTCATGGCAGCCTAGTTGAGAAGCACTGAGCATGCATAAGTAACTGAACATGTTCCAGTATTGGTTTAGCTTGATGTGTTCTCATATATGGTACTGAGAAAATTCAACTTACCAACCTCTAAGAATATACTTCCCGGTCTGTAGAATTGCTGTGTTAAAGAAAAAAATCAATTATGATTTATTTTTTTACGGAGTTAATTGAGTGTTGTTGAGCAAGGGGCGAGTGTCGGTGGAGGTGGGGAAACCAGCCACACCACTCCCAGGTATTTCTTATAGGATAAACGCGAAACACAAACTTATTCTCGTCTATCATTATCTTACACTTTCTTCCCCCTGAATAAAAGAAGACTGGAGGAAAGGCGATGTGTATTTTATTTATATCAAAAATATAGCAGTCTGCAATGCTGCTTATTTCACGCTATTATCTTTGTGTTGTACTGGTTGTTGTTACCGATACTGACCAGGAGATATTTCTTTCGCTAGAGGAATGAAGAATTTATAAAAACTCGTTGCTACTTTTTCCTTTCACTTTCATAATACATCGTGAAAGGTATTGTGGAGAAAAAACAAGTGCGCAGAGAGTAGGAGGAGTCCAACAAGAGAAAAAAAGTCTCTCAGTGGGTAAATTGGTAAAGTAGATGTGTGGATTACCAAAAGCAGTCAACGAATTGTGATTCTTGGTCGGGTAATGGTGCCAGCATCCCCCACACACACACGTTCTTTTGGCTCAATTTGATGTGAATCTAGAGCGGAAAGACTTTACGACTCACTGTGAGTTGGGAACGAAGGGCTGGGAAGTTATTGAATGAGTTGTCTGAGGAAGAGGACATTGTTTTCTTGGGAATGATGAGCAAGAGAAAAGTACAAAACTAACTCTGCCTCCATCAAACACCAGTGTAAAGTGAAAAGGTGACACTATACGGTGTAATAATCTTCCGTGGTCGACCATTTATAAACAAAGACGGACACCAAGTTGACACGAGCGGGATAAATTTTTATTTAAGTTTTAGGTGCC